GTTGAGGGGGTCGGGGACACGGCTGTACCGGTCGTGGGTTTGGAGTGTTCGAGGTCCATGTACCTTGTTGATTCAAGGTTGCCCACTGTGCAGCTAGTAGTGGGGGCACCTCTACGCGAGACTGGTGGAATGGGTGAGATTGGAGGGGAGGGAGACCGAGGAGGCGTGCGCAGCTGTTTGGCTGCGTGAACTTCCGCCGTCCCTATACGCTTCCTCGGCTTGGGAGTTGGTTTGGGGAGGGGAAGGGACTTCACCCTCGATGAGGAAGAACGAGAGGATTCGGTTGAATCGGTCTCGGATTCTGATTCGGTCGATTCATGAGAAGAGGACGTCACCTCAGTGTCATCGTCCTCATCATCCTCAATGATAGATTTGGACGAAGGTCCAATACGTGGCCGTTTATCCATCGCCTCGGAAGAACTCCGGTCGGACTCGGACCTGGCCTTCTTCCGCGGCCGAGGGGGCCCCGAGCGATCCATCAACGGGGGAGACGAAGCTTCCTCCGGACGAATCCTCGGAACCTCCTGGGCCGCGACCGAAGGCCCGGGCCGTTCGTCCTTTCCGGCGTCCGGTTCCGGGCCGATAGGTTGGGAACGATGGGCGAAAATTCCCGCCATCGCTTGACGTCCCTTGCGGGACGGGCCGGGCGTGCTGATGATGGGGGGAGATGACCCCCCAGACATGATGTTGCTGTCTTATTATTTTTTTGTGGTCATCAGGTCCCACTCGGCCCCAATGCGAGAAGAAGAAAGAAAAGTGAATAATAGGACGGGGACGATGCAGTGTTGACTACGGCAACTACGGTTGAAGACCACTGAATACAACGATTAAATAAAACAAAAGAAAAATAAAATCAAAATTAAAAAAAGTAAAAGAAATTAATTAATGTATCTATGTTTAATAATTTAGAATAAATGTAATAATCTAATTATTTAATTTAATTAAACCGATAACCCAGCCATCCCCTGGCCCGCCACCATCAATGACCTACAAGTGGTTATCTCACTTCTAAAATTTTATTAACTGAACTAAGTAAATGGAATAATAAGAAAATAAACTAAACTAATATATACAGACAACTAAGAGGTGTGACACCTCTCAGCAAGAAGCATTAATATTGATAGTGACATCAATATCAATGCTCCCCGACTGGCCGGTGGCAACCGGACAGGGTGCCCTGAACTTTGGGGGTCTAAAACAAAAGTTTCAGGTCCGCAAATGAACCTGGCCCCCGCACCAGCTACCCCCAACCGCCCAGCGGACAGGGTTCGGACACCTAACCGCTTTGTATTAATAAAAATAAGAAATTCAGTATGATACAAATCTAAAAATGCCTAAGGAAACAAAATAAATTAAAGAAGAAAAATATTGGTGCGGAACCACTAAGTCCAGTCAGGACAGCCGTTGGGACCAAAGGGAAAGAAGGATAAAGTTACTGAACTACAATAAGTCTAATAAATACTTTGTAGCTAAAACTATGGACAAATACAACTATTACTAGGCTATTATAACTAAAAGTAATGGGATGGAGGCTTACAAATATGGGTGCCGTCTGCCAGCACTGCAGATAATGTTAGATAAACTATGGACAATTTTAATTAAAAAAAATAGAAATCAGAAAAAATTAATGATATTGGGGGTAGTTATGAAAAAAGTTTGTCTGCACTGTGTAAAAATTTTGGCATAGGGAACAACGTTTCCTATTGTTGGTGGACTGTTACTCTAATCTAAACAATTTCTTATGTGGGGATCTATGGACTTACACTACTATTACAACTTATTCAATAATCTATTATAATGTATTTACAAGTAATCCACGACTACACATTGGTCCCGACTAGGTCCCGACACCACAATTCCCTTGCGGGGCTAATAATTAGCAAATCGGGTTTGGCTTCAGTCCCGCCTAACCCCGAGGGGCAGGAAAGGACTGGGAATAAACACAGGAGGCCAGACTCTGATGGCGCTAACGTCCGCCAATTTTATTATTAAATAAAATGGTGACGCAGCTATACAGGCTGGACGACACCTACCCGTATTAGACTAATGTCTAGGAATAAAAAGTGTCAATCCACTTACCTGTTCCCGGGTCCTGTGTACTGTTGTCCGGAACGTCTCCGCGCCGTAACAACTACACTAGATTGGAACACTCTCACGGTTTGGGTTCGACAAATTGTACAGCACAACCAATTTGGATCCTCTGCGCACTGGTGTCCCGGGCGAATTTGCAGCGAGGTAGGCCCCTTATTTATGGTCGCCCACGCGCACTCGGCCAGCGCTATTATGAGTCCGAGCACGGTGGGCGTCCATTGTTCTCTCGGCCGCCTCGCTCGCCTATTGTTTGCCTAGTCGCTCTATTAGTTGCCCGTATTGTGACTCGCTCCTGCGTTCCCACGCCAAATTAAAGACCACGAGGACCAATCTTTATTTACAAACACATAATATTTACAAATTTACTTATATCTACGTTTAGCGTACTATCTATTTATTGTCTATTTTACGCCGTTCTCTATTTATGTTAACCTATTTTTAACATATTATCTATTTACGGACATTTATAACTATTTATTACGGACATTTTCTATAACTATTTTTAACACTATCAATGTCCGTCGCGAACAATATCTATTAAGCTGCATTTATTTATGTCCGTCGCGAACACTTTCCCTCTCTTCACGGTCGAGTGGTTCGCGAGACGCTCTGTCTATTGTCTCACTCTCGCTCTTCCGAAATAGTATATTTTCTCTCTAGCCGTAACGAATCTGTCGCGAGTTAAGATGTTCCACTTCAAAGGGCTCTTCCCACTAGTTGAGTGTCTTATGCCACCTCCTTGCTGAAATCTTCATTAAAAAAAAACTTACATGTAAATATTGATGTAAACAAATAGAAGCCAGCGTCGCAGTTGTTCACCAACATCAAGTTCAGGATCTGGATGGAGATGAAGGTGGTGATCCTGCTTGCAGTCAGTGGTAAGGCGATGGCCATAGCCCTGTTAAGCATACGTAATCTTCATTACCTTAGAAGTAATAACTTGAAGGCCCACACTCGTTATGATAGAAACTACGACCTTTGTTGATCCCAAGCACACATTACTTCTTCGAAAATTATCAAGGTCAACTTTAAAATTAACTGGCCTTTGCTTATACTGCATTTATTACTGTACAGAAAGAAAAAAAGCCTCCGAAATGGCGACTGAAATACATTGAGTCGTAACATTAAGGACATACCGTAAATGTGTAGGGAAAATCGCAACGATGATAGCTGTGTAAAGACCCATCACGATTATCCCCATCAGGAAAATTCCGAAGAGTACAATGCTGCCCGTGGTATTTGGTACCACGTTCACTAAAATCCCCGCCAGCCCACAAATTCCCGCCAAGGCTATCACAATATTGCGCCTTCCGATTTTAGTTACCATCTAGAATCAAATAACGTTATTTTCATGTAATAATTTCCTACTTGAATCATATAGCACAAGACTAAACAAATAGTAGGTATTATTATCAGTAGGTTTTATTGGCTTTTGATTTTATACGATTGTTGAATTACACAACTCTACAAAAAAAATTCGTTCTTTGTCCTAACGTTTATACTAGGTTTTTCCGGTTGATTATTCACAAAAACGAAAATAAAATACCATTTTTTTGGTATAAAGTTTGCTTTTGGTGATAGTTATAGTAATAATACTCATTTTTCAATTTTATTATAAATTTTAATTAATTTTAATACTTTAAAAAAAACAGCGCTATGAGAGTGGGGTGTTTACGTTTACACAGTGCCACCAGATGGCACTTGAGTCATAAACAACGATCAGGGTGCTTAGTACGAGTTTTTTAACGTTCTCGCTAACGTAAAAGTTAGCTCATATTTGTATGGAGTGGGATCGTTTGCGTACGTTTGCCGCTAGGGGCGCTTTTCCAACTGCATACAAAATTGGCTAACTTTTACGCTATCGAGAACGTTAAGAAACTCGCACTAAGCATACAGGTGTTTTGTACAAGCCCAGAAAAACTTAAAATGTCACGAAAGTGTAAATACGATGCTGATGCATTTTGTTTCATATGTGGTCAATTTATTAAAGTACAAAAGCAAACTGATTGATGCCATGTATTTTTTTTCAGTCTAATTACGATCTAAACTATCGAGATTTTATGCTTTGCAATCAAAGTCAAATTTGGTGTTGACCCGTGTTATGGTTAATGTGATACATATTGATGCAGAAAAACGGAAACGTTGTGTTCGATCAAATGTAAGCTTTGCACCAACAGTTGCAATTTTACAGAACAAAAAACAACGTATTTATTACTGTAAATCTAGAAATACTGTAAGAGTAATGCCATCTGTCGTCGAATAGCAGAAACTAATATCAAAAGACGCAACGCCATCTATTATCATATAGCGAAAACACACATCGAAATGACTCGAGTTATCAGGAATATTCTCGATAATTGTAGAGTTGTGGTATCGACTGTAAAACCGTTGCAGAAATGACACGCGGTCAGTTAGTAATCGGAATTACTCGAAGCGAAACATTGAACGGATCACCTGAAGCGAAGCGGAAGAAGTGAATTATGAATTTTAAAGTGTTTGTAAAGTGTTTTAAGCGTTCTAAGTGTTAATACAATTTTAATTTGTAGATTTTTTGTTTATCCCGAACCCCAGCGCGTAACAATATTATACTTACCAAACTCAAAATTGTATTGAATGCACACTGTAAAGCACCCACGGCTAAAACCATGAGCAGTGCTGTCTCGTTGAGAGCGCACGGAGCAACGTCAGGCTGAAATTGTTAACGATCATTTTTTGATTTGATTGTTTTAATGTGTTCATGTTTTATTTTTTATTTTATTTTATTGCCTTTGTAGGCAGACGGGCATACGGCCCACCTGATGGTGAGTGGTTACCGTCGCCCATGGACTTCAGCAATGCCAGGGGCAGAGCCAAGCCGCTGCCTACCGCTTAATACTCTCCATAAGCCTCGTTTGAAAAAGGACATGTCATAGCGCTCGGGAAACACCGTGGAGGGGAGCTCATTCCATAGCCGGATGGTACGTGGCAAAAAAGATCTCTGGAAACGCACTGTGGATGACCGCAGTGGCTCCAGGTAGTATGGNAATGCCAGGGGCAGAGCCAAGCCGCTGCCTACCGCTTAATACTCTCCATAAGCCTCGTTTGAAAAAGGACATGTCATAGCGCTCGGGAAACACCGTGGAGGGGAGCTCATTCCATAGCCGGATGGTACGTGGCAAAAAAGATCTCTGGAAACGCACTGTGGATGACCGCAGTGGCTCCAGGTAGTATGGATGAACTCTACTCTGGTGGCGGGCGGTGCGAATTTTATCATCGAAGTTTATCTATTTATTTCTAATGAAGTACATATTTACCGGTGGTAGTAGAGCGTATTATGAGTCCGTACAGGTAGGTACCACCACCCTGCCCATTTCTGCCGTGAAAAAGTAACGCGTTTTGGTTTGAAGGGCGGGCAGCCGTTGTAGGCACTGTTACAAACTGAGACCTTATAACTCATGTCTCGAAGTGGGTGGAGGCATTTACGTTGTAGATGTCTACGGGCTCCGGTTACCATTTGACACCAGGTGGGCCGTGAGCTCGTTTACCTACCTAAACTATAAAAAAAGGTTCCCGAATGATTCCCGCGAATACATCTATCTTCTATCTATCTATATAAAAATGAATTGCTGTTCGTTAGTCTCACTAAAACTCGAGAACGGCTGGACCAATTTGGCTAATTTTGGTCTTGAATTATTTGTGGAAGTCCAGAGAAGGTTTAAAAGTAAATAAATATGAAAATGCGCGGAATTAAATAAAAATAGCAATTTTGTTTTTCCTTTGATGTCCCCCCCGTCGGACGGATTCCTTTTGTTTGTTTGAAGTTTATTTTGTACAAAAGTTTATGTCTTTTATTTATCGATTGAGGCACTACGAGGGTCAGCTAGTCGTGTAATAAAAATTAAACCAGCATAATATGTGAGTGCCAGTGAGTACCAGTGATTACCAGTGAGTGGCCAGATCTAGGTTCAGTTGAGGAGATCTGCCAGCTGATGGTAAATATCATATTGTGCGCCTGCACGGCTTATTTCATAAATATAATTAAGGCGTGTAGTTTGTGGGAGTCCAATCTTCTAAGTCTCATAATCTGTCGAACCTGCATATTCAAAGTGAGAGACAGATATGTGTCTCTCTGGACCACGAATCGTCAGCACTTAATAAATGATGGCCATAAACAATGAATCGATTTGCATTTTTCTTTCACGATAAAGGGCTGGGGAAGGCATATGTCCAGCAGTGGGCAGATAAAGGCTGATAATGATGATGATAAAGGGCTAACACTTCTATAATACTCTAAGAGGCTTACGTTGACTGAAACTTCGAATTCACTATTGAGTATTTCGCAAAGAGTGAGATCTGTGTTCCCGCCTGTTTCTGTTACTTGAACGAACTGGTTGGCTATAGTTGGAAGCCACATCATGAACGCTCCAACTCTGTGAAATTATAATAAATTATTTAGCACGACTCATATTTTTAATGACTCGGTGGTGTAAGAGTTGCCGTTCCTTACTACTTGGCCGAGGGTCTTGGCGAAAATTTGTGTGACGAACAGGTTTGTTTGATGTGTTTTTTTAATTGCTTAGATGGGTGAAAGAAGAATCTTCTCGAATCCTCTCCCTCTTCGTGTCTCAAGATATCAAATTTTGATCAGTGTGTGTTGCCAGTGATTATACTTTATCAATAGGCTCAAAAGTTACCCGAAGAGTACTAATGGGGCCAATAAGGCGAACCAGTAATGCGTTCCGGTTTGGATACAGCCGTTAAGCAGTACATTTGAGACTTCGTACTCTTTTTTGAAAACGGGTGGTACCCTAGCGCTGTGATGCATCAATAGCCACTTAGCACAGGGTGTCCAAGCAATAACAAAAAACGTTATGCTATCTTTGGGTACTTAAAGCCTCTGAATAACTAAATCTTAGGGCGTCCCTGAATAATGGTTACATTTCGAATAATATTTAATTGCATTTTTATTAGTATGGTGTTAGATTGGTAATAATTATAAGGTGAAATTTAACTCAACTGTTGAAAGAAGTACAATAACGTCATTATGATAGTTGGCTTTAGTAATGGCGCTCTAAAAAGCGGCACTATTTGATCCTTTGACGATGACGGCGTATCATTTTTGTTCATCTCCGCCTTTTTTATTCGGTAAACCTGAGACAAATTTAAAAATGTTTACAAAACTTTGTTGTTCATGTTGAATTGCTACCAGAACCTCGACTGAAATATCGATGCGGTTTTACGAGATTTCTTAAAATTATCATTGTCAAGAGTTACCGAAGGCGACGTTCAGATAATCTCCTTTGTTATTGTTCTTTGTGTTGAAGATGAGGAAACTATTTTCCTAGACAAATTCCTGCATCAAATCTCTCCATATTTTATTATTATTTTCAGCCTTTAAGGACTCACGCAGGCTTATTTAGACTGCCCTGGAGCTTTATCTGATCTGTCCAATGAGTGGGCCGTTGACAGTGTGATATTTTCCGTTGATCTTACCCACTTTTTCAATATTCCTATTGCTTCATATCTGAGATGCCTCAGAATCCGAAGAAATGATGTATTTCACAGATAGATATTGCCATATAAAATATTTATCGAGTTTATCGTAAGGTTAAACGGCGTATAGTTAAAGCCGGCGTAGCGAAATATTGCTAGTGTACCCATGACGTACCAGAGGAGTGGCAGAGATCACATGGAAAAACTTTTTTCTATTACAAGGCGTGAATTTTATTTTAATAATTATTATTGAATAAAATCAATGTCTACAATTGGAGCCATCTTAATACGGTAAAGCCGCTCAATACTCAAACGCCGAATACTCAAACAGATGTCAAAAAATATCAATCACACTCCGTAAAAGAAATTAAATGAAATCTGATTATTTTCTCCAAACAATCTGCCCCAAAAAATAAAAAAGTCGATGTACACACACAGTACCTTACCTGAAACTCTTTTTTTGAACCTAAATGATTATATTTATGAATTATCCTCAATATTTCTAAGCTCTTCTGTTCATCTCCCATGGCGTGGACAAATTTAGGACTCTCTTGCATGAATAAAAAGCAGATAAATGAACAAATACATGGTATGGAGTAGATCACCACGAGGGTCCTCCAAGAGTTCCAATAGATGTCCAAGCTAGAGATGTAGTATGAAAAAGTCAACGGAATTATTGGCAGGGCCAGTGCTGAAAAAATCGGGATATCGATTAATTAAAACTAAGGAAGTAGGTTATATTTCGACCTGATATTTCGCTTTAAATTAGTCGAGCAATAAGTGGAAAAGATGAGCAATATTCTGAAAATAAATCGATATTATAAAATTAATATAGGTAACGATAATTCTTTTTTTGGGGACTGTACATACTGTGAGAATGTTACAGAACACGAATAAATAAATAAATAATAATAAATATTTACTAACAATCACGCCACGTTAACTGGTCCCGTGATAAGTTCGTAAAGAACTTGTGTTACAGGTACCAGATAACGGAAATAAATGTAAGATTTTTATTATACACATACATATATAATATACATACATAACCCTGGAAAAGACATTTATATTTATCATATAAATATCTTCCCTTGGCGGGATTCGAACTCGCAACCCCCTTGTGTAGTGACCATGTCACTTACCACTACACCAGACGGCCGTCAAATGTTATGCTTGTTCGACTGGACGTGAGGTAAAGTTCTCGAGCACATTCTCATAAGTCTATCTTGGTTTCTGTACTGGAGCTTTTGAAGCACAATTACTTAATACTACCACCACGTAACTACTAAAGTTACTAAACTATTGTTTTCGTTTTCCAACTATAAGAACCGTTTGACAGCTCCCCAAACCCGTTGTCCGGTAAGCTATTGCGGTTAAATCCAATTAGAAGACTCAAGAGAGTCGACGTGCTAACAGTAGGCGAGGAGGATCATTGGCTCTGCCCCTCCAAACCATGACTTCTCGCAACTCACCTGATTATAGTCTTGGCGACTGATCGCAAGTGGTAACGTAGAAGTCGTCGTGGCCTAAAGCAAAATGCGTCCGATGCATTCGTATCTAGCAATGCACCGGTGTTTGAATCCCGCTGGCGGGTACCAATTTTTCTAATGAAATACGTATTAACAAATGCTCACGATTGACTTCTAAGGTAAAGGAATAACAACGTGTAATAAAAATCAAACCCGCCAAATTATAATTTGTGTAATAATTACTGGTGGTAGGATGTCCTGTGAGTCCGCACGGATAGGTACCACCACCCTGCCTATTTCTGCCGTGAAGCAGTAATGCGTTTGGGTTTCGGCAAGGGTGGGGCAGCCGTTGTACTGTAAAAACTGGGACCTTAGAACTCATATCTCAAGGTGGGTGACGGCATGGTAGATGTTTATGGGCTTCGGTAACCACTGAACATCAGGTGGACGGTGAGCTCGTACCTCGAACCTAAGCAAAAACAATTATATACTACTTGGACACTGTTGTTGATTTTCAGAAATTATATTAATGTTATATTACCAGCCATGAATCCTTGTGAGAGCAAGAATATGCTGGTCACCAATAATATCACCAAATTACGTTTCGCCATGGGGACACTCTCGCTCAACAACGACATTGACATCGAATAGAGACCGGATGCACTAAAAACGACATTTTAAAATATATACATAATCTATGTACATAAACGTTTTGACAAAAAAAAATTAAAAAAAATCCCAAACACCTAAGATATAATAGGGATATAAAGTATGAAATTGCCGTTTTATTGTAATAGGTACATACTTCGAATTGACATAGAACCTTCCTGGTTTGAGATTGAGTTAAACTTTTGGTAACAAATTGTAATAGTACCTATGAGGGTTTTTTTAAAAAAAAATGTGCAACATTAGACTATCGACTAATATTAAGTGTATAATCTATGATCGACTTTCCGTTATTTTTTTGTATTCAGCTTAGACGAGAAAGATGGATACTTCGAAAATTCGAGTGATTTTTGAATACCAGTTCGGAAGCAGAAACAGCTCGCAATATCAATGTTGCGTTTGGAGAGGGGACTGCTAATGAACGCACCGTGCGATTTTGGTTTAAACGCTTTCGTGATGGAAATTTTGATTTGAAGAATGAACCACGTGGAAACCGCCTACAGATTTGAATAATAGTGAATTGAAAGAGATGGTGGAAGCTGATCCGAGCCAAACTGCCCAGGAATTAGCGGCATGGTTTAATGTTACCTTACCAACAATATTAACTCGTTTGCGTCAAATCAATAAAAAAAAAGTATGAAACATGGTTGCCTCACGATTTGACTGATCTGCAGAAAGAAACGCGTGCGTGAATCTTGTGTTGCCTTGTTGAATCGATACAGAAATGAAGGAATATTGGATCGAATTGCGACATGTGATGAAAAGGGGATTCTTTACGATAACCGTAAGCAAAAAATTCACTGACCCCAGGTCAAACGCCGCAACAGTGTCCTAAAGCAAAGCTTACCAATAACAAGATAAAGGTAACTGTTTGGTGGTATCAGCATGGTGTTATTCACTATAGTTTTCTCCAATCTGGTCAAGTAATAACGGCAGATGTCTACTGTGCTGATCTCTGAACAATGATAGCAAAACTTGCAGTGAAACAGCCCCGACTCATGAAGCGATCTTCACCATTATTGCTCCATGATAACGCGAGACCTCATACACCTCATACTGAGAAACCGTTTTACGTCTACAGGAACCGCATTTAGAAACCATTCGTCACCGGATGGTGCTCGAGGTATTCACCAGACCTGCTCCAACGGACTTCCATTTTTTCGTGATTTCGACAATTTCTACCTGATAAAAAGTTTTCTTCCCAGGAGGCAGTACAAAATGCTTTCACGCAGTTTGTAGAAACTAGACCACCAGAGTTCTATCGCAAAGCCATAAAAGACCTTCCTGTTAGATGGCAGCAATGTATAGATAATAATGGTAGATATTTTGATTAAATAAATATGTTAAGTGAAAAAAAAAAGAATTTCAATTTTTCAGCACAAATCGGCAATTTCATACTTTGCTGACGTTACTATTTAACCCTTAATAGTAACGTCATTTCGATGTTTCTATGATGAGTTCATAATGTTATTGAAGTAATATTTTTACATATTATATGGTAATTCATTGTCATACGTCACTTTTAAAACTACACGATTATTCACCTTTATCAGATAACGAATAGTACAGATAGCAAAAATTTTAATTTTTATTCGTGATAACGTAAACTACATAATATCTGCAAATAGTGTATTTTCCAAAATAAATGTAGCAAGTTCAGTGGTAATTAACAGTTTTTACATAATTTATTTATTTTGTTTATTACACTTCATGTAAAATTTACATTGGCGGACTTAATGCCTAAGGCATTCTCTACCAGTTATCCAATGGTAGTGCAGAGTGAATAGTGGTAGGTGCAATGAAATTTATATTAAGTTACAAATACATACACAAAAAAAAGTATATACATACATACATGCATACACACATACACACATAATAATTTAATACTTGCCTACTTAATTAATACCTAACTACCACGTTTGGGTCTGAATTCGAGTGACTAATATACCTGGGGGAGGTCCTTGCGCCCTTATAGGGGAACGCGGATCCGGCCTCAGGGCAAACCCCCTCTGTCCAGGCTCACTAATCTTTAAATTATTTTATATTTAAAAAAACTAGTCTGATCATTGCGTATAAATGGAATCTTTCAGTCAAGTCTATGTTCTGCTGATCACCACAGCCACTCATAGTCTTAAATAATACATAAGCAAAATGCAAGCCTATATACTCGTATACCAGAATAAGGAAGTATTCTCTAAAATACACTTTATAAATAGAATAGATAGTACGAAATCGACACTTACAATAAAGCAGCAATGAACTGCAAAATCAATAACATAATCCAGTTAACAGATATGCTGGCCACAATGTTAATGATGGCGCTTCCCATCAATGATACCAGCAGCATGAGTCGTCGTCCTCTTGTATCTGCTAGGTAACCCCATACTAAACTGCCAACTATGGTACCTGCAAAATGGCGTTTAATATATAAGAGTTACAAAGTGGTCCTTTCGTATTGTATAGGCCGGCCCTAAATCCCAGATTTAGCTCACGATTCACTTAGTATTATTTAGTTAAATAAATAAAATGGGAATGTACTTTACACCCTATTTTCCTCCTCTTTAACGTGGCCAACTGAGGATAGAAACGAGTATTTTACAGATAGTAGTAGATTTATCCATACCTCTAGTATTGACGTTATATAGCAACGCTGACCACTAGCCCAATGATTTAAAAAAATGTATTATAAGAAGATATAAAACCTAAAAATCATGCGACATAAAAAACTAAAGTCCATTTGAATACTGAGTTTTTCTTAGGTTTTGAGCTCGGGGGCGATCGGACCCTTGGCCAAGAGTGCAGGGGAGTCCTTTAGTGAGTAGGGTCTAAATACGATCCTTGGGCCCGCGATTCGCTCCCAATATCTGCGGACCGTCCAGCCCCAAGTAAACCATGTTCGTCCGGGCCGCGGGGACTTCATAGGAGGTTTGGCCTGCGGCCATAAAAAAAGAAATAAAAAAGAATTCTTCTTATAGCCTTTTTAGCCTATTGCGTGTTCCCGTACAAAAAAAATGTGAATCCCAAATGTCAAAATAAGTTAAGTAGTTTTCCGGATTCGAATTGATTAAACAATACTACATTTCTTTTTAAAAAAAAACAATGTTCCGGGCGTTTTCTGTTTATTATTTCGGTATTATGTCGACAACCCCCGGTCAACAGAACAATCTAACACAGAAGTCTATGAAGTTGGAGTCCAAATCCAATTTTTTTAACTACCAGTACCTAATTACCAGTAGCTTCAAGGGTTTATTTTCTGGTTTCACTGGACTGGTAGTCGAGCTCACAGGGCTTAGCCTGAAGGAATTTTCTAACACTAGCCCTAGCAAGAGCAGCACTTAGCTGAATCTACCACCGGATCGGAATCGCGACTGAGAACATCCCGCGACAAAGTCATTGGGTGAATGAAACAGGACTGCGCGTACAATATTCGATACACTGAACTTAATTAATATTTAATTACATAGCTACTTATGAATTTAAAAAAAAATTATATACATGTAAGCTTGAGGGTAGACATTATCTTGTTGAACACCAAGTAAAACGATGTCACTTTTGATTCCTGATTTAATCAACAATATGTTATCTTAACAATTCACTTTAACACTTGTCCAACTTTAACCAGTACGTACAACAGTCACTGAATCACACAACGTAACAAGGATATAGTAAGTGCACCAGGCAAGCGCAGTCCAACGAATGTTTNGATATAGTAAGTGCACCAGGCAAGCGCAGTCCAACGAATGTTTTTCGCAAGGCACGCACCGCCTTTTTATACTAGCCGGCGCAGCTGGCTTATGAGTCACTTCTGTTGCACGAGTGGAACGACACGGCCGGCGCACCCGGCTTGTGTGAGTCACGCCTGTTGCACGTGATGTTTATTAGAAATATTGTTAACGCCGTCATACACAATTACGAATTCGTTCGAAACTTTAAAACAATCAGATAATTCTTAGACTAACCACATTTAATAGTTTTAGGAATTGTTTATTCTTAAACACGAAAAATATGTTCAGGTATTTACCGACAACTGGTCCAGCTGCTAGAATCCCTTGCTGGCTACTGGTGGTCTGGAGTTCGCAGGCACTGGTGGGTACCAGGATAGTACTGCTGTAGCCGATGCATACGAACGATATAATTGATACGCCGACCAAGATCACTAACAGTATGCTGTATAAACCGAAACCTGAAATAAACGTAGCGTCCTGTGTGCTTAGTGCGAGTTTTTTTGACTTTTCAGTCGTGCTTTTTGACTTCTCGGTGGAACGTTTGCGTACGTTTGTCGCTAGGGGCGTTGTTCTAACCCAATACAAATTTGAGTTTACTTTTACGCGATCGAGAAGTTAAAAAACTCGCACTGAGCACACTGGAACCTTCTCTGGTGCTATTCTATTGCTATTATAATTATTGCTATTATAATTATTCAACTGAATGACGGGTCGTAGTCTATATGCAGTGGTGAATTTACACTAGGGGTAGTAGGGCGGCAAATTTTTTAGGGCGGCAAAATTTTGAAAGTGATTTTTTTTTCTTGTCAAGGTTGCTCTATGTAATTAATTCATTCTATAATTAACAATTTTCTGTTTAATTGATAATTCAAGAAATTCAATTCATCCATTATTTGTGAATTATAATATTGGCACTTTTGGTAAAATTATTAATCAAAATGATTTAATCAATTTATTTCCTTGGAGATTTAAAATAATAATCGATTTTTTTATTTAACAGAATTAAAGAAATTTAATTTTTCTTTCGTGTAGAATTATGAGTCAGCCTTAGTGCCAAATTTATAATTGTTAAAAAAAACACATATATTTATTTATGTTTTTGGAATATATCACATATTGTAATAAAGTTTCTAGTAAAGCTGAAGAATAAAATATATAAATTTTAAGTTTCAGTAAAATTTCAGTATTGGGGCGGATTTTTTTCCGGGGCCCAGGAGCGGCATTAAGTTTAAATCCGGCCCTGTCTATATGGCAAGACGGTCGGGTCGGTGTATTCGTGTGGAGCGATACGACTATACCGGTGTTAGGTAACTCTTTGACTCCTCGGCTACGACTCTTCCGCGAAATTTTTAGTTCAGGCACGGAAAATCACTTATTATCTTGTCTTGTAAGAGACGAGTAAATATTTTTGAAACACAAGGCTGTAAAAATGTATGTTTAAAAAAATGGCTCTTTGAATAAATTTCAATTGAGTGTTATCTGTATTTGGTTCTTTTGGTTGGCAAGTTGGCCGACGACTGGACTATTGAACAAATTCCGCGGTACCTCCGAAAATACTTAAGTTTAAGAATAACTTTCAGGGTTAAGAGGTAACAATCGTTTAATAAAACTCTGAGCCGATATTTTATTTTATTTGTGTAGCTATTGAACAATTTATAACACAAATCTTAAGATGGGTAGAGGTATTTTGTGCTGTCTATGGGATCCGATAATCACTTAATATCAGGTGGGCCGTGAGCTCGTTAAGACATCTATGCAATCAAAGATCTCCATTGCTAACTGTTGTAACATGATAATGACAAATATGTATTATTTCTTTTCAAAGAAAAATAATACGTGTCTGAGTTTTTGCAACTTTGCTTGGGCTTTTGCTACTTGGCTTGGGGCTCACAAATTAGTTTTTACAAACACTATTTACGAGGTGTCTTCTTGTATTTTTAAACTACGTTTTATTAGTGTGACACGGCGATAAAAAATGTGTTATTTTATGTCAGATAGCACAATTTTAAATTAGATCAAGATATCTTCATTAAGTTTTATGATAAAAATAATAAAAATGTATATATTTTGCGATCAATATTTATCATTTGGCTGTAGTTTCTTAAATTAAATTATAACTCGTGTACCACTCAAATATAATAACTGCTTTATTTGATTCTGTATTTATAAGTATGAATATCACATGCATCGTTCCCAAGCATATTAATTATCCCAAAAACAAATGCTATATTTTTTTTTTTATTACTTTCTATAGGCAGACGTGCTTACGGCTCATCTGATGGGAAATGATAACCGTCGCCCATAGACATCCAAACTACATCAGTGACTTAGATGTGCTGCCTATCCTGGCCTGGATGGGCAGCCTTATGTATGTTACACCGGCTATCCTGTCCTTCAGACCGGAACACAGTATTACTGTTTTGCGGCAGAAATAGACAGGACGGTGGTACCAACCCGGGCGGGCTTCTACACAGAACCCTACCACTATATAACAAAAATTACACCCAGATTCCGAACACGAAATACTTAGAATGAGTCTGGTGTGCCATAAGGATCCCGTCTCGGTCCTCTGTTTTTCAAATATATTTATTAACGACATTGGTGACGGCTTTCACTGTTTAGACATTACTTGTTTGCGGATGACCTAAAGATCCCTGAAGGTTATAATAGCCGGTCTGATGTGATACTCCTGCAGAAGGACGTTGACCGTCTGGTTTCATGGTGCTCACGCAAAAGTATGGACCTCAATTCGGCTAAATGTTATTCAATTCATTTTTCCAGAAGAAAAACTAGAACTCGCGAGAGAGAGAGAGAGATAGGGAGAGAGAGTAGAGAGAGAGGAGAGAAAAAGAGAGAGAGAGAGAGAGGAGAGAGAGAGAGAGGAGAGAGAGAGCAGAGAGAGGAGAGAGAGAGGAGAGAGAGAGAGGAGAGAGAGAGNCACTTGGGCACCAAATCGTGCTGACTATAACTGCAGTTGATCTCATCACCATAGTCGGTTACTCTTGGCAGAGCAGTGGTGGTCATGTGGAGAGAGAGAGGAGAGAGAGAGGAGAGAGAGAGAGGAGAGAGAGAGAAAAAATTTCACTGCCAATCGTATGGATTGTTTTAGGGACTCCAAATTATCATGGCGTTTAGAGCAAGCCGTACTCTCTAAAACTGACCATAAATCATAATCCAGCGGATTAAGATCGGGACTAGACAACGGCCAGTCTTCACCTCTGATGAAGTCCAAAACGTTCGTTTTCAACCAAGACTGCGTAGACCGAAACTTATGATCTGGCGCCGAGTCTTGCTGGAAGGACCATTCTTGATTATTGAACATGGTGTTGTTAAGGGGCTTCACTACGTTCTCAAGAATGCTATCTTGATACACTTGTGCCGATGTTTTGATATCTTTTTCACAAAAGTATGGCTCAGTCACTCCTTCATAGCTAATACCCCACCAAACCATCACTGAAGTCGGATAGTGCCCACGTTGCACTCTGTCGACTAATTGGGAAGCTTCCTTAGAGCTTTGAGCATAAATACAGTCATTTTGTTTGTTAAAATGTTGCTCAATTGTAAAAATTTTCTCATCCATAAACAAAATTTTCCTATGACCTCCCTTTGCGTACCGCTTCAGTAGTTGTTTCGATTTTACCACCCTATTATCTTTTTAATTATCAGTTAAGAAATTACCAGTACGTCTCTTATAAGCTGCAAGTCCTAAGTCATCTTTTAAAATACGCGACATGGTTCTAGGTGCTGTCTTCATCTTCCGAGATAAAATCTTTTGCTTTCGGACAGGATTTCTTCGAATTCTTTCCCTCACTGCTTTGACCACCTTTTTCGTACGAACACTACGTAGACGGCCAGATCTTTTTCTGTCACAAACAGAGGAGGTCTCATTGCACCTATTAATAGCCCGGTACACAAACACTTTACTAATACCAAGCGTATCGAGAGTTTTAAAAATTGCATTTGGCTCCATACCTACTTTGTGTAATGCAATCACAGCGATTCGGTTCTCTTTATCACCCCACTCCATTTTAATATCGCAAAATATTCTACAATGTATTGGCGCCAAAATGAGAAAACTCAATTAGCAATCATATAAAAATGACAGATTTCAAATTCAAATGTAATATTTTGTTTATTTTTAATTGTAACAGTATTTATGGCCAGACTAAGTATTAAGAAACTCTGCTCGAAGGCTTTCAAATCTCTCGGCTTTGTTTTGCGGAACTGCATGGACTTTAGTAGACCGGAAGCAAAAATATTACTTTACAACTCTTCGTCTGTAGCAGCCTGGTATACTGCAGTGTCACTTAGAATCCTTTTTGTGACGTGTACAAAAAGAAACTGGAATACCCAATAAATAAAATACAAATAAAATTTGGCGTATATCGTTTTCGCAATTCTCATAATATGGTAATATAATTGATTAATTAACAAACCAGCTTTATCGACGGCACTTTCGATAGTTTCCTCCTCGTTATGTTTATCAACGGTCATCGTCACAGATTTTCACAAAATTATCATATTATTAAACACACGGCCGTCTGCTCAAACGATACGATAGAAAATCGTGCAAAAAAAACACATGTACGTAATCGTGAACTGCTTATTGATAATAAACGATAAAGGAAATTAAGCAACGCCTTGTATTATTCGCGGCTTCCTGAGGATATATGGCAATATCTATTTATCGTGTAGACAACTACTGTTTCGTATGTATCTAATACTAGCTGGCCCGGCAGACTTCGTAGTGCCTCAATCGATAAATAAAAGACCTTAACTTAAAACAAACAAAAGGAATCCGTTCGATATCGTCCGATAATTCAAGACCAAAATTAGCCAAATCAGTCCAGCCGTTTTCGAGTTTTAACGAGACTAACGAACAGCAATTCATTTTTATATATATACCTATAGATGAAGATGATAAGGCAATTTGAATATGGTTTTTGAATTGGGCATCACGGAACACCAGCGGTATTGCCCGGTGGACCTCACAAAACGCTGACCGAGACAGAGTCGTTTCCACTGATTATTTCGTCTATCCTATCCTGGGTGGAACTCGGACGGAAATGTAAGGTGATCCTGGATAAGTGGATGACTTAGACGACTTAGAATCGTTCCTATGCGTCTCGCGTGACATCTCACAGAAGATTCGCCTCCGGCAAAAAAAAGAAAGTTTACTGGTAGAAATATTCTCTTAATCAAATTGGCACTATGCATTAGATTCAGGTTCACGAATCAGATGATAACGCTATTTGTTATTAATAACTTTAAAAAAGATTCATTAATATCAATCACATCTGAGACCGCTACACATTCAATCTGGTGACAACATAGAATTACCTAACGCTAAAAAATACAAATTTAAAAGGGCATAAATAAACAACTGGCAAAATCATCGTGGGCCGCAAGTACATAATTGCCAACCACATTGTCATTGATCACCTCTGAATTGTCGAATGACGAAGAGGAGCGGTTGCCCGCAGAACTGTAGCCCTAGGAAGCTAGTGAACTAGTTAGCGTACGATCTTTTCTTCAATTCTCGTACTTTATGAATACCGCCTAAAAACAAACGACAGGTTCGTGAGCAAGCAATGAACTTAACATTAAAATAAAAAATCTATTAATACAAAACACCCACATTTTCATGTTAAAAAATCATTACTAAATTTAGTTTTTCTTTGTGTTTCATTGCCGTTTCTGCTCGACTCGTGACGAATCAATTCGTTTCATCTTTTCAAGTGATATTATTTATTATAGTGTGTTTTAAGAGATTGCTGTACATGCCTGTAACTGGCTTACATACCAGTACTTAATTTTATACATGTTAATTTTAAGCTTGAATGTTTTGTGTGTATTGCTGTTGGTGGTCTAAATAAATAAATAAATAAATATTATATAATAGAGTCAAGATTGCGTTTCTATATTAAATATTATCTCCTGATATCAGAAAATAGTGTATCGAAACTATTAGTTAGATAACGTGCAGAGCAATTAATATAGATAAGTAATAAAATGATAAAATAACCAAATTTCTTTTCAAATATTTTATTTAAAAACCTATAATAATTATTACATAGTTAAATAATCTAGCAGTCATTAAACGTATGAGTGATTCTTATATCTATCAGTACAGCGTTCAGGTACTCTCAATTTATTTGCTAATTAAAAAACCTAACTAAAAGAAGTAGGTACTAAATACGGTAATAAGCTGTTTTAGAACTGACCGACTGATTCACAACCAATGTTTTTATTTATTTATATGAATAATTTAATTAGTTCCATAGTTTTTTAATTACACCGAACATCACATGAAACAATCTAAAATTTAAAACAATAATTCAAGCACATCTACAAATATTATTGAGCTATCATTTTAATTAGTGTGTAAATGCGATGGCTAGCTTGTTGTTCATTTTACTCCCGAATGACGTCATACGTAATGAGGTTGCGTTCAATCGAGTTTTATAAAATTATTAAATTTCGATAAATAAGAGACCTTCCATAATATGCGAGGGACGTCAAAATCACTAGGGATTAGAATATTCCAGATTAACGTGACACGACAAAATAAAAATACATACAAAAGAAAAATAGCTCAATAATTTCTATACACATGTAAACCAGCTTCAAAGGCGGTTTGGTGAATAACAGATGGCAACTAGATAGAAACAGCGAGAGATATATTATGTATTTTGTCAAAGTTTTCGGAAAATAAACTTGGAAGATACACAACTAAGGACACTTATGCGGCTTAATCTCCATTAAAGGATAAGACGAACGTCAGATTAAGCAATCAGAGGGCTTTAGCTGGGCTGCATATTGTACGTTCGTGCCATTGTGTTCCTCGCCACATCTGTCTAATGTGAAGTTCTATTTGACGGGAGATTCTCGGAAATAGATCATCACATGATTACATTGGTACGGTCAGTTCTTTTAGTTTTAAACGAAATAACTTTCATTCTGATTGAATTGAGACTTCAGCCACATCTCTCAAGGGCCTATGGGGTCTGTTCTAAGCAGGTTTCTTATGAACTTAGCTGTTTGTATGAATTGAATCGGTTAAATATTTTTCTATCACGATAAGTGTAGTGCATTTAACTCTTTTTAGGCAGAAACGCGGGTAGGTGCAATTATATATATTTCTGCGGCTATAGTTTGAAGGGTGGTAGTGGTGGAAGGTGGCAACTTCACGATATAAATGAGACACCGACTTAATGTCTCATCGTGGGTGGTGACATTAACGTTGCGATGTCTACAAGATCCGGTACCAACTAGAATCAGGTGGATGTGGGTACTTTAGAAGTTGTCGTGGTCTAAAGGATAAGACGTCCGGTGCATTCGTGTTGAGCGATGCACCAGTGTTCGAATCCCGCAGGCGGGTACCAATTTTTCTAATCAAATACGTATTTAACAAATGTTCACGATTGACTTCAATGGTGAAGGAATAACATCATGTAATGAAAATGAAACCCGCAAAATTATAATTTGCGTAATTATTGGTGGTAAGACCTCTTGTGAGTCCGCACGGGTAGGTACCACCACACTGCCTATTTCTACCGTGAAGCAGTAATGCGTTTCGGTTTTGAAGGGTGGGGCAGCCGTAACTATACTGAGAACTTAGAGCTCATATCTCAAGGTGGGTTGCGGCATTTACGTTGTAGATATCTATGGGCTCCGGTAACCAGATGGGCTGTGAGCTCGTTCAACCATCTATGCAATAAAAATATACGTAATACACTGCTAAGCCCACAGTTGTGAAAACAAATTACATTGCTCCTTGCATCAGCGTAGAAGAGAAAGAGTTAGGTTATTAAATCTTAATATCCGATTTTTCTGTCTTCGTCCTTCAGGGATCCAGGTTGAGAAGCAGTTATTTGTCATGCTGCTTATCTCGGGGCAGGAACCAAGCTATTACGATGGCGCCTGTAAAAAGATTAATTGATTTAAATCGTGCAATGATAATTAAAAGTAATTTTCCGGTTTAATTTCCAGTTTTATTAGCGTTTCGCGCAAGTTTTCGTGGTTAGTATTCGACTGTAAACCATACGGAACGTCGGAAATAATGTAATGAGTAAAAAAAATGCGAGATTAAATCGTCACAAAAATTAGTATTGATTATGTATATGACTCGCAAAAATCATTTTTCCTCCTACCTTTTTATTTATTTTTATTTCTTAGATGGATGGACGAGCTCACAGCCCACTCGGTGTTAAGTGGTCACTGGAGCCCATAGACATCTACAACGTAAATGCGCCACCCACCTTGAGATATAAGTTCTAAGGTCTCAGTATAGTTACAACGGCTGCCATACCCTTCAAAACGAATACTGGTTTTAAAGTACTACCTATTCGCTGGTAGCCTAAGAGGCTATTCCAGATTCTCGCGGACCGGTAGGTGAACTCACGGGCTCGACCTGAGAGAATTTATCAACACTGGCACTAGCAAGAGCAGTGCCGCGCGGAATCTACCACCGAATCGGAATCGCGACCCACCGAGAAAATCCGGCGAGAAACTCATTGGGTTCGAAACCTATTTATGCAATAATTCCTTGCAAATCGTGTAAATATATTTGAATTTAGCAGGACCAAAAACTCTTGTCTGATTCGTACAATGGAATTTTTCGCAATATTATTACCGACGCTACAACGTTTTGTAATTACACGATTACCAATTCTTCCGGTGTGTCAAATTCCAACCACTGGTGGTAGGACCTCTTGTGAGTTACTGGTGGTAGGACTTCTTGTGAGTCCGCACGGGTAGGTACCACCGCCCCGCTTATTTCTGCCGTGAAGCAGTAATGCGTTTCGGTTTGAAGGGTGGGGCAGCCGTTGTAACTATACTGAGACCTTAGAACTTATATCTCTAGGTGTGTGGCGCATTTACGTTGTAGATGTCTATGGGTTCCAGTAACCACTTAACACCGGGTGGGCTGTGAGCTCGTCCACACATCTAGGCAATAAAAAAAAAACTGATACGAGGATTAAATTATACAATTATTTTTAATAATCGCGATGAATCTTATTGCCTTAACAATAGACATTGGATAATGCACGTGACAATGACTTTGAGATGTAAAGTCAAAGTGTCCTTTGCATGAATTATCTTGCGAACCGGTATACATCGCACAGAAAGGTGCAAGGTTATCTAATCGCGCAGGTTATATGCTCGAAATAAGATATATCTTAAGTGGTGCAAAAATCTCGAGAATGATTTAAATAAATAAAAATAGACTTACTCATTAATAGCACGGACCAGCCGTAAAATGTAGCCTCGCAGTTAAAAGACAGGAGAGCTCCGATCGCGTTGACGCCTAGGAACGCACTCAACCTGCCCACCATCATCGACACACACGACACCATACCCCTGTGCACAAAAGTACCTAATATCGTAGTCTCTTTTTGTATAATTGTCATACATTTGCATCGGATGGCCTGTTTGAAATTTCATGTTTACCAAATTCATAGACATAACGACTGAATCGGCCTTCAAACAGCAATGGTTGATTGCTTCCCGGCAAAAATAGCCAGGACGATGGTATCTACCCGTGCGGGACAACAATGCGCCCTACTGCCAGTAATAACGTTTTTTTTTGTATGTCTGATTTTATTACACGATTTTATTCCTTTATTGTAAAAGTCATTTATGATCAATACTCATTCGTGATAAGTCCTCTGAAAAATCAGTACCAGCCGCGGGATTTGAGCACCGGCTCAGCATATCTTTAGGAGCACACCGGGCGTCTTATCTCTAAACTCAAGTGAATATGTTAAATTGCTACTCGTATTAAAATACTTCCTTGTTGTCATCTTTTATAAACATATTATTCACTGCTCAAAATTAGATCACAACCCAAGCGTTAAAATGGTAGCTGTACTAATTTTGCGGGCGTCTTTCGGCATGTCTACCGGCATGTGAATCTATTGTGAATGGTTTTAAACTCTCTCGGTTATCTACATTAAGTATGGCCCGGCCCTTGTTTTAGCACTAAAATATAACGGACTTCTCATTGGAACTAAATTTTGTGGCCCAAGGAACTTGTTAAACATCTCTTATCAAAATCTCATTGTTATTTTCAAAAATTACATTAGGGTTCACATAGTGAAATAAACTACGATCGAGTTCAAATTTGACGTTCGCGGTGTGGTGTCTATAAGCTCTAGAGACCACTAAAAACTAAAACAAATGTAAGCTCATCTAACCATTTTCAAATAGAGACAGAGACATAAAGTCTACATTAAGACAACACAGTCTCAAGTAAATTTAACAAAAATGTTATAGCGTAAACTTTTGTACCCACTGACCTTAAAGATGTTGGATAAAGCTCCACAAAATAAACACTAAGCAATCCCATCGAGAGAGCGCACATAATGAAGAAGAAGAAGAATATTCCGCCAGCCAACGGTATCCTGACGACGTTCAGAAGGATAGCTGACGTGGCCGACATTGCGAGGATACACATCATCGCTGATCTTTTCCGTGACCCGCAGGTCAATGACAGGACTAGATTGGAGAAGGAAGCGAGGGCGCCATACGTCATGGCCGAGAATAGCGTGGTGTCTTCCACTGTGTCGTTACAGATTTCGGTAAAGTCCTAAAAAAGAAAACGTGCAAATTAAAAACATTGCATTGGGACTTTTTCTGTTATAAATAAAACGGGCTTATAGACTCAATATACCTGCTCCATCTATCATGAGTTAACGTTAAAATATCAAATGAGATGTAGAATTGATGTAATGATTGATTGCTTTGCCTGGTGTTAAGTGGTTACCGGAGCCCATAGACAACTACAACGTAAACACCACAACCCACCTTCAGACAAGAGTTCTAAGGTCTCAGTTGTAACAGTATCGCGGCTGCCCCACCTTTCAAACCAAAACGCATGACTACTTCACAGCATAAATAGGCAGGGTGGTGGTACCTACTCATGAGCACTCACAAGACATCCTACCACCAGTAACGTAATCACTTACCGTAATGTTTGAAGAGTTCATATAAGTATCAGTCGGGTATCCGATCACGGTGCAAAGGTTCATCCCATCGCCACCAGTTGATTTCAACACGTAGAAGAGGTTGTTCATGACGTATGGGAGCCAAAGGATGAAGCCGCTGCCACTGTTAATAACAGGAAAATGAAGGATAACGAAAGTGAAACACTACTTAGCGGCACTATAGCTGTCATGGGTTCCAGTTTGAAGGATTTGACAAATGTTTGATCCACCTGAGACTACGAACTCTTGTCTCGAGGTAATTAAATTATTTGAAGAAAAAAAAAAACGTGTGTGTACGCAAGTCACACACGGTAGAAGTGAAACTTATAATATATAATAATAATCGCAAGGGTCAACTACTCCGCAGTGCAATAAAGCAGCCGCACCCCGGGGGAACCGCCTGTATGATCACGGTATCCCACGGTACGCCAGGTGGGCATGATATTACAAGAGAAATACGAGAACGTCTATCAATTGTGTAACATCTCGTCACCGAGATTCAGGAATTGTTGAATTTACGTGCAGCGACATCTGTTGATAACAAAATAAATAGAAATAAAAAAACATGGCGCGTATCGGAAGAAATTAAGATGGCGCGTAACCGAAAAACGTTACATACGTTTTTCCTCCGTACGTCGATAAAGAAGTTTCACTTCACTATTGTAGTTGAACATTTGGTTTCATATTAATAATATGTAAATCTGTAACTTACGTCATATAAATGACAATGACCAAATAGAATAGTCTCATCGTATCCTTGAGCAATGGAGGCTTGAACAGCGACACGGTTTGATGCCACAGGGACTTTAGAAACGAATCCTGGGCTTCGGCAGTCTGGTCCTCGTTGTCCGGAATGAGTTTTTTGACCTGCAATAGAAGACGATTTGATATACTGGTCCTCATACCCTCCTAATTCCCTCCTTCCTTCTCTCCTCCTATCGTTATAGAGCTCCTAGTTCAACAAAATAATAGTTAGGCTGAAGTCGTCGTGGCCTAAAGGCTAAGACGTCCGGTGCATTCGTATCTAGCGATGCACCGGTGTTCGAATCCCGCAGGCGGGTACCAATTTTTCTGATCAAATATGTATTAAGAAATGTTCACGATTGACTTCGACGGTGAAGAAATAGCATCGTGTAATAAAAATCAAAACCCGCAAAATTATGATTTGCGTGATTACTGGTGGCAGGACCTCTTGTGAGTTCGCACGGGTAGGTACCATCACTCTGCCTATTTCTGCCGTGAAGCAGTAATGCGTTTCGGTTTGAAGGGCGGGGCAACCGTTGTAACTATACTGAAACCTTAGAACTTATATCTCAAAGTGGGTGGCGCATTTACGTTCTAGATGTCTATGAGCTCCATTAACCACTTAACACCAGGTGGGCTGTGAGCTGTGTCCACCCATATAAGAAATAAAAAAATTGTAAGTCAACTCAGTGGAAAACGTTTACAATACTCACCGGAAAATTTTCGGCTCTATCTCCAGTATTACAGGCGTAAATCTTCTTCAGCACCACCAGAGCTTCATCGTATCGACCCTGAGAGGTCAGGAACTTGGGGCTCTCGTGGAAGAACTGCAGCAGGCCAGCTGTGATCGCACATGGCACTGCCAGGACGAGGATCAAAAGACGCCAGGAACGGAATGTGATGTTTAGGAAATTAATGGGATATGAAAATTCCATAGGAAGAATTGGGTACGCTAGTACTGAAATCATAAAGAATGAAATTAATCAGAACCTTGAAGTTTGTTTGCGATTAAAAGGAATTAGATTGATATTTTTTTTATTACGGACAAAGCAGTTGCTACCTACATTGCATTAAGTGACTACTACATACTACTACTATTTTAAATAAAGCTAATATTTAAATTTAGGTATTATTAGATTTAAGTTTATAGATAAAGATTACAGGCAACGGCAGAATAACAGCGATAGTTTCAGCTATCAGAAAACTGAGCCGCGGCCTTTTTATCTCCACTGTGTCAATATTATATATTGTAATATTGTTTAGAATTAGAATTTTTATGTCATATTAATTGAAAAGTTATTTGTATTTGTATTGTGGAGTAAACAAATGTAATTAATATTATTATTATTATAGTTTTTTAAGTCATCGTGGCCTAAAGTATAAGAATGCTGGTGTTTTCGTATTGAGTGAGGTGTTCCCGTGTTCAAATCCCGCCGGCAGATACCAATTTTTTCTAATGAAATATGCACAATGCTTTAAAAAAATTCACGAATGATTTTCACGGTAAAGGAATAAAATCTTGTAAATAAAAACAAATAAGTCCGCAATAAATATAATTTGCGTAATTAGTGGCTATAGAGTGTCTTGTCAGGACAGTTGAGTAGATCCCACCCTTTCGTCTATTTCCGGTGCCCGCATTAAGATCTATCTATTCGCGAAGCAGCTGCTCTCGAGTTGTTAGGTCTCCTTTGGAGGCGCTCAGCCAGCTGTTAGCAAATCCCACCCCTCCTGGCTGAGCCTTTGCTCGCCCACCTGTCCTGGTGAAACTGGAAAGGCCTCTGGGCCACCAGTAATCCTTCAATCATAAAAAAAGCTTGGCCTATTCTGGCTGAGTCTTGAGCCTATTCTGGTGAAGATGGAAAGGCCTCCAAACCAAAGATAATCCTCCCTTTATAAAAAAAAAGGTGCAAAAACGGAAGAGCTTTGTGAATGTCTTCCTCCCTACTTAGAAGACTTAGAATGTAAAATTTAAATAAATTGTCGAAATTATTATCTTACCAGCTGCTGATGCTTGCGAGCACATAAGAGCACACGTGCAGAGCAGCATGACGCGACCCCGGGCACGGGACGAACAGCTCTCGCCAAGTAAAGTGTAAGAACCGGAATTACTGGCCGAAGTGCTGTCGAATAAAACAACAATAAAATCAGAATCGATTATTAGCTAAATACCTAATCACCGTTTGACAGAGACTTGTGGCGGAAGCCATCACAGGACACAAGATATTTGACAGATGCCTGAATCTCACTTACGACATTTTCAAGATTAGCTCGCATATATACAAGTTCCGAACAACAACATTCGTTTACCCATAAACACAACCCACTGAGTTTCTCACCGGATCTTCTCAGTGGGTCGCGTTTCCGATGCGGTGGTAGATTTTGCGAAGCACTGCTCTTGCTAGGGTCAGTGTTAGCAACACTCCGGTTTGAGTCCCGTGAGCTCATCTAAACACGTTAGGGCGAAGCTGAAATAGCCTCTCAAGGCTATCAGCAAAGATAGGAAAAAAAAAACAGCAACATTCGGACCGTCGGTCTACCGAGCAATATCACCCGCTCGGTGGAAGATCTTCCCTTTGTCGTATATCCCCCCACAGACCCATGGTTTGAAGCGTTTAGCATTTCGTCGCGAAAGGGTCATGAAGTCCACACGGCTAGATACCACCACTGTGCCTATTTATGCCGTGAAGCAGTAATGCGTTTCGGTTTGAAGGTTGAGCAGTCGTTGTACTGTTAAAACTGAGACCTTAGAACTCTTGTTTCAAGGTGGGTGCCAGAATTGACCTTGTAGATGTCTAAGCGCTCCGTTAACGACTTAACACCAGGTGGGCCGTGACTTAGTCCAATCATCTAAGCAATAAAATAAAAACTTAAAAATTTCCATTAACTACAACTATTGCATATGCCCCATTTCGAAGTATCTATCACATTTAAACCAATAAGTCACAATTAAAAGTGATCAGAGCGAGTAATGAAATGAAAAAGGAAAGAGCTAAACAGAAAAAATATCGACGTTTGAAAGGCAAAAGTGACTAAGCAACAATTACTGCTTTGTACATAAATGATAGGCAATAACCATATTCGATGCGCAAAAACCTTCGATCAACAATAGTAACTAGATTTCGGGTCGGTGCATAAAATCCGTCTCGTCAAATAACAGCGCACTTGAAATGTGAGCTCTTATTTTGTTTAGTTCACTTCAAACACAGCCAATGTCAACCCGTCTCACAATACCGCAGTGTGTATTCAAAAGTTGCAAAAATAAGGCCCGAAAAAGCAATTTAACGGCCGGAGTATCTTACTTTCGGTAAGTACATGAAGTATAAACTATATTGTAAGCTTTAAACTTATAAATAATATTAAATTTTGAACAAAATTACCGATTTTTAACCACCGCTACAAATGTTGGCCAAGGCTCGGCCAACACATGGACAAACTTTTGCTTAACAGAACAGTAAATGCATGGAGTAGATTTGTGTTGTAATAATTTTTTAAAATTTGTTAGCAGCACTTCAAAATTAGTTGGTTAAAATTGGTTAATGCTGCTTTTGTGTCTGTTTGTTGGACTCTCATTAGATACTTAGCTTTCCATTTTTATTTTAGCTTTCCTAGCAATCACGTGTGCAGAATGGATCTCGATTGTCGCCAGAGAAACAAGAGATGACTTTTATAAGCCAGCTAAGAACTCCGCTTATTGACACTGGACATCTTTGCCTTCCGTGCTCACGGCTACTGAAATGTGGCCGAAACATTGTAATAAAAATACCACGCTTGAAACCGTTTAAACGTTGTTTTATTATGTGCACTGGTCGCGAAAACTTAAAAATATATATTACACAAAAACGTAACGCTAATAAAATAATAAGTAATGTATAGATACTAACAAACATACATTTCCAAAACATAAAAAGTAAACAACTAAACTTTTACTTTAATTCATTAATAAATTATTTTAGTGTTAAGCGCGACTCCCTTACCTCCTGTAGTAAATAGAAATCGGCATTTCAAGAAGCAAAAATAAATAAAGCAAAACGATGTTAGTTCTCAGAGCAATTAAGGGAAAAGTTACTTTATTTGTTGCACCTTAAGATTGATTTAACATTAAAAGTTGTTTAAAATATGTCTTTTTATTGGTAAGTGACAGGAGTAATTTATTGCTTTGCTCGTTTTATGTGACGAATGATCGTAAGTATTAGATAATGTTTTGGAGATTTGTGACTTTATTACTAGGTGCCATAGTTGTTATTAGTTTGAAAGTAAAAGTGTTTCAAAACTTTTTTCTCCGTTTGTTAGTAAACGAATGTAGCTATATAAGTATATATTCACGCGGACAGTTTTTGCTTTAATTTTGTACGTATCCCTTTATCTAGTTACTATTGTTGATCGAAGGCAAAAACAATATATTTCTAGGTCTATTAAAATCATTTCAATCCTACAGCTACTAGCTAGATTCTACTACAGCTAGATTCATTAAAATAAATTTTGTTTTCAGGTATTTCAACTTTAAATTAGTCTACTGTAAAGTTCACGCATTGTCGCTTAGTCACGTTTGCCTTTCAAGCGTCGATATATATAACTCAATTTAGTTAGAAAAACCGAATTCTTAAATCTGAAATATCTCGAATGCATCATACAGATATCAGTTTTTATTATTGACACAATCCAGAGTAATCTTGATGTTTGCATTCATATATCAAATTGTTTGCATTGTTCCTTTGTCTCACCTGGGGGTTCTTTATCTCAGTTGGCATATATATGTACCTATATTATGTACTTAGCGAAATAGTATTTATTTGTACAGAGCTGTTGTTAGTGATAACATTGTTACAAAGTTTACAATGGCACGCTCGATTCCATGACGCGGGGAAGGTTAAGATCAATAATGCATGGAATTCATTTAAATTCATTACAATGATAAAATACTTAGAAACACCTACGGACTAGGGGAAAATGCAGCGGATTTTTTTTTTCTTTTTTCTCCTACATATTCACTGGTAGCCTAAGAGGCTAATCAGCTATGCCCGGACGGGTAAGTGAGCTCACGGGCTCAATATGACTGATTTTCTTAACAGTAGCCCTAACAAGAGCGGTACTTTGCAGAATATACCACCGAATCGGAATCGCGACCCACCGAAAAAATCCGGCGAAAAACTCACTGGGTTAATCAACGGCTGTTATCCTATAAAGCAGTACTACTGAGGAGGTGTTCAAATCACACGAGCATATAATTTTAGGTAATAAAAGAATAAATGTAGTTTAAAGCTTAAAATCGCTCGCTTAAATAGCAAACCGAGGTAATCTTGTTTTTTAATCCAGTTAATACCGGAGCGAAGTTATAAAGATACTAGCCATACTCGCCCACTGGGCATTTAAAATTAACATTATTATTTATTTTCATTATTATTAGGGAGTCCAATACTCATATAAATATTAGCCTATCCATTAAGTACATGTATTTTCTACATGGATACCAAGTTTCAAGTCAATCGGATGCATGGTTCAGTAGTTATAACAGAACATCTGTAAAAACCACCGTAGATTTATATATTATAGATAGATTATGTTATCATCGGTCCATCATACGTGTACAAATTTTCATGTTGATCGTACGTCTAGAAGTCGGTGAAAATGGCGTTCAAAGATTCTATTAACAAATAAACATACATCCCAAGCTAATAAATAAACTAGTGTTAAATACGTGCTCACGAATGAATTACATATTGCCTGTTATTATCGAGATTTTTAGTGAAATAAAATAAATGATCAGGACAAAATACTTACAAAATTGAGGAGATTAGTTTGAGCGCTGCCATGGTCTTCCACTCCGGTGCTAGACAGCTCAATGCAGCAAAAACGAAGCCAACAGACATTGATAGAACTAGGGTCAGACGTCTACCTCTCGTATCCGATATATAACCCCATATCTGAGCACCCATTACCACACCTAGAAAGAAAAGACATTAATTATGTGTCATGTGCTTTTATCGCATTTAAATGATAAACAAAACATGTTTAAATAGTGATAATGGCTTGATTTTATCGTGTATCTATGTCAGACAATTTTCATCTCCAATTCGTTATCTAAATTTGGCATAATATATCAATCTTACATGATTTACTTCGGATTTCAATAAAGTAATGATTTGTAACGCACGCTGTTATAAGCGAATGGCGTCCCTGTTTTATCTTTCCAAACAACTTCCACGACCAAGATTCACAACTTTAAATTTTATGATTTTAAGTAATTAACTTAATTAATAACGGAGCCTAAAGATAAATCACAACATGAATGCCGTCATCCAACTTGACGGCTGACTACCTCGCGGCAGAAATAGGTAGGATGGTAGTACTACACACACGGGCCTACAATACACCCTACCATCGGTAAGTAGTTGGCTATCACAGTACGCTGATACGATATTTAGAGAACATTACTGCTCTTTCTTAATAAACGCCTTCACGACACCCAAGAAACGAGCTGGGGTGGTGCCTTTCTACGACGGTACCATACAGCCATACATTTTGAAGTCGTTATGGCCTAACGGGGATAAGACGTCCGATGTATTCGTGTTGAGCGATGCACTGGTGTTCGAATCTCAGGCGGGTACCAATTTTTCTAATGAAATACGAACTCAACAATTGTTTACGATTGATTTCCACGGTGAAGGAATAACATCGTGTAATAAAAATGAAACCCGCAAAATTGTAATTTGCGTAATTACTGGTGGTAGGACCTCTTGTGAGTCCGCGCGGATGGGTACCACCACCCTGCCTATTTCTGCCGTGAAGCAGTAATGCGTTTCGGTTTGAAGGGTGGAGCAGCCGTTGTAACTATACTTGAGACCTTAGAACTTATATCTCAAGGTGGGTGGCGCATTTACTTTGTAGATGTCTATGGGCTCCAGTAACCACTTAACACCAGGTGGGCTGTGAGCTCGTCCACCCATCTAAGCAATAAAAAAAAAGCCTTCCCACAGCGAAGCAGTCATGTCGTATTAACATTTCCGTGTCCAAAGGTGTGGATAATATCAGATATGTTCTATCGGATACTCGCGATTCACTCTCGGTGCTTTTAGGCATTTAAAGCACCGGTCATTGCTCTTGTTGAACTCGTTGAAGAGTTAGATCTGCAATCTAACCCATAGGCACAACCTGCTGAGTTTCTTTTCGGATTTTTTGAGTGGATCGCGATTCCAATTGGTGGTAGATTCAGCGAAGCGCTGCTCTTGCTAGGGCAAATGTTAGCAAATACATTTAAGTTGAGCCTTGTGAGCTCGCCCACCAGTCATGGTAAAGTGTAGCTCCTGCAGATTGTTGGGAGGTAGGCAGGCCAACAAATAACTATTGGTTTCTATGGATCCGGGTACTTCACACCAGTAAGAAAGGCTATTTTTACACTTAACGTTCCACTGTGATTGAATTGGTGACATTTTAATGTTGAGGCGACAAACTCATAGAACTTACTGGTGGTAGGAGCTCTTGTGAGTCCGTGCGGGTAGGTACCACCGCCCTGCCTATTTCTGCCGTGAAGTAGTAATGCGTTTCGTTCTGAAGGGTAGGGCAGACGTTGTAACTATACTTGAGACCTTAGAACTTATATCTCAAGGTGGGTGGCACATTTACGTTGTAGATGTCTATGGACTCCAGTAACCACTTTCCACAAGGCGGGCTGTGAGCTCGTCCACCTATCTAAGAAATAAAAAAAACTGTTCAAGCTACAATAGGATTTATAGTGGCTAATCGAATTATCGCAAATGTACTAAAACTTACCTATCAAAGGTACAGCTGTAAGCAATGCCCTTTGCTGCATAGTAATTTCCAAGTCGCATACAGCGGCGGCCACTACGAAACTTATGCCGAACAGGTCCATCCCCATAGCTTGCAGAGTGAAACTACAGACTAGGAGTAAACCGAAGTTGTATTTGCCGAAACCTTGTAAAAAGAAAACGTGCCTTTTACAATAAATAGCATAATATGAAATTGAAAAAAAAAGAAAAAGAATTAGTATTGTTTGAGACACACATGTGAGTATTTATAGTATCGTCCAGTATATTATAGTCCAGTATAGTATAGTCCAATATAGTATAGTCCAGTATAGTATAGTCCAGTATAGTATAGTCCAGTTTAGTAGGTATAGTCCAGTATAGTATAGTCCAATATAGTATAGTCCAGTTTAGTAGGTATAGTCCAGTATAGTATAGTCCAATATAGTATAGTCCAGTATAGTATAGTCCAGTATAGTATAGTCCAGTTTAGTATAGTCCAGTATAGTTTAGTCTAGTATAGTCCACGCATTTCCTCCACATAATCCTTATTTCTTTAATTTACTATTACCACTACCTTTTTTTCTATCTAGTTTAATTCGCAACCACGTGTATTGTATCTTACGCAGCTTATGCTTACGGTGAGGCTTGTTGCGAATTGATAGATTCCGCATCTCTGTCTATTTAGGCAACGAAGTAAATATACATTCCGGTTTGAAGAAGTAGGTCTCTGGAGTACAAATTTAATTGAAACTTCGATCTTATATCAACTTTGGCGGCAGAGTTCACGAAGCCATGATTCCGACCTCCACTAACACCTCAACAAACAGGCGAGCTGTGGTTTCATAGAATAAAAGTACAACATCACTTTTGATGTGTGTAAAACACACTACACTTCGGTTACAGTAAAAAAAAATCCCAGTTTTTGAGATTATTGACGACTGGAAGTAAGTCTTAAGAGTGTTGTTTTAAGTTTAATTTGAGTTCAATAGAAAACGATAGCGAATTATAACACACACTTTAGTTTTATGAGCCAACAAAGAAAACGTGAAATTATCGAATACAATGAAAATTAAATACCTGTGACGGTCAACGCATCTTCAACAGTAACTGAACTATAATTCTTATTTTGAACATCTTCAGCTATTTCGATGTGTTTTGTCAGTTTCTTTTGCATTTCGTCTGCAATATGAAAACGATCAAATTGTTTAACGTATTGAAAAAAAAAAATTATTTTCTTCATAATTTTAGCTTTAAATTCACTTTACCACAGAATTTTAAATTTAAGAGTCGCCATACAGATAAACCACTGAGCGTAGTTTGCAAGAAAATTTTCTACCAAAAATACTTAAGATATTTCATTATCACTTGACCACTGAAGATTAAAATAATTTACCAACCTGAACCACCGTGTATTGACTGCGAACAAAAAAAAAACCCCGCGTCTATCGGCCTACAGAGCCTGATGCCCAATAGACAATTTCTGTTGTGAAACTTCTGGCTTAATTTATATAGTAGGTTATGACGTAAACATCACCTGCCTTAGATAATCAACAAACGCTGTCATCATTACTGGAAGATGCTGACTTCGCATCTCCTCTTGTAGTACATATTTGCTCAGTAAACGTGCGTTAAGTGTTTCGAGATTATTCTAAAAATATTCATAATGTCAATTTTTCTTTGTTGTATCTATTTTATTCTTTTTATCTTTAGTATCTGTTTACTGTGCAATAAAAATAGTTTTATAGTTTTTATGGAATAGTAAAATAGTTGATGATAAGTTTTTACCACATGCTTAGTGGTAAAATTCCAGTATTTTGCTAATAAGCAATGCGACTAGCCGATCTACCTTAATTATTACCACTGGGTCTAGGTAATAGTTTTTTTTTTTTTTTATGATTAAAGGATTACTGGTGGCCCGGAGGCCTTTCCAGTTTCACCAGGACAGGTGGGCGAGCAAAGGCTCAGCCAGGAGGGGTGGGATTTGCTAACAGCTGCCCGAGCGCCTCCGAAGGAGACCTAACAACTCAAGAGTAGCTGCTTCGCGAATGAATCTACTAACGGATCGGAATCGCGACCCGCTGAGAAGATCCGGCGAGAAACTCAGCGAGCTGATTCATGGGTTAGGTTGCACGGCGAACTCTTTGTCGAGTTCGACGAGTACGGTTACCGAGGTCCCTAAGCCTGCTCCTAGAGCTGAAGGCGTCTAGTGCAAAGGTTATTGGATCTGATGGATCCGTAAGGACGTGTCTAGGGCGTCGACGGTGACTGGCTCCTGCATGATCAGGATTCGGGGAGTAGTCAGCGGCGGCTACGATAAGGCGATTATCATGACGCATAACCTTATCGAAGTACCGTTCCGACGCTGACTTCATGTATTTAGGTAATAGTGAAGTTGGATGGTAAGGATGAGCAATGTCCCGGCGGCGATACAGTGAAATTACGGAATCTTCTTGAACAATTTATCAGAGCAACTAGTGGGCTGTGAGTGAACCTGTGAAATAAATACACGGAGAACCAATATCGCTCCTTAGATCCGGTGGTTCCAAACGAGAAACAAAACCTTTAACAATCTTAACTGCCCTCTTCTGTATGAATTCAAATAGATGTAGCTATTAATGGAAAGTACCAACTTAGACACGAGATAAGTACGTGAACGATAAGTACGTATCTCCACGCGAACCTGTGCTCTATAAAGCGTAAATATTTATCTAGGCAGTGAGTTCCATGTGGAGGGGTGAAAGGCTATTTGGTTTAAGCCAAATAATTTGTTACTGGTGGTAGGACCTCATGTGAGTCCGCGCGGGTAGGTACCACCACCGCCTATTTCTGCTGTGACGCAGTAATGCGTTTCGGCTTGAAGGGTGGGGCAGCCGTTGTAACTATACTGAGATCTTACAACTTATATGTCAAGGTGGGTGGTGCATTTACGTTGTAAACGACTACGGGCTCCAGTAACCACTTAACACCAGGTGGGCTGTGAGCTCGTCCACCCATCTAAGGGTGTATTTACTAATAAATAAATAAAAGTCGCTTAAACCAAATAGCGTAATGTCGCTTAATATTATACATTTGTCTTTGTAATAAAACGAACCTTTCCAGGCTCGTGAATCATGGTTACTATAGATACCTTCCATTATTTGGAAAAAGGTTGCGCTCTAAGCACACTATTGAAGAAAGTTACCAGGAAGCCTAATGCCTTTTTGGGAAGCTCTGTGACAATTTCTTTGGTGATGAGGTCGAATCCGAATGGGCTTTTTTATTTTGTAATTTAATTATGGTCCTTTTCAGCTCCTGTACCGTAACTGGTTTTGGTTGGAGAGCTGCAGGTCTTGCTGCAGTGTACTTTCAACTGCATTATCAAACTCCACATTATTGCTATCATTCGGCTTGAAGATGTTGGCTAGATGTTTTCCAAACATGTTCGCTTTTTCTGTACTTGTCCTAGCCCATCCAGAAACAGTCTTAATGGGACGTTTGTATTGTTGTGGTCTGACCAGTGCCTTTGTAAATTTCCAGAGAGAATGGTCTGTTGATTTTGTGGCCGTTAGGTTTTCCAGATTATTTTGTAGCGTGGCATTATTCACATTGTCTATTAGTTTTTCAGCTCTCTAATAGCTCTGTTAAGTGCAGTCTTGTCACTTTTGTTTCTAGTTTGATGCCATATTCGACGCAGCTTTCTTTTTTCAAAATTTTTGTGTTTGACTTCGAGAGGTACATTTCCAGCCACTTGAGAATTTTTCCTTGGAATAGATGAGTTAGTCCAGAAATCCTTTTGAATGAGGTTAGTAATATATAGTAATATATCTCATCAGGTGTCTCATATATCTCATCAAGTATCTTCAACGATACTTTCAATTCGATACTGTTTTCAATATAAGCTTTGAAGCCTTAGAAATCAGTGCGATTATTGTAGAGAGTACCAGGCTTGTCGTAATGAATACTCATCGCACTAATAGTTAAGAAAAGAGGTGTGTGGTCAGAGTTCCTATCTAGGCAAGTCTCTGCCTTGAGATAATTTCTCGAGAGTCCCTTTACTATGAAGAAGTCTAATTAATCTGGTTTTTTGTATATATCCGTAGGTCAGTAAGTTGGTTCTCCAGACGAGACAGAGCTGAGGCCGTTTCTTCAAGGCTTAGCTTTAGTTGTCTGCCTCTAGTTGTTGTTAGCCTTGAGCCCCAATATGTATTTTTGGCGTTCCAGTCTCCACCAGCTACAAATTTCCTCCCCAGTGTAGCGAAATAGTCTGTAAAGTTTGTTGCGCTAATTGTATGTCTCGGTGGGTAGTTTACCACTGACAAGTTCAATCGTCCACAGCGGGTTTCGACTGCAACCGTGGTAGCTTCGATATGGTTTGTCCTAAATTCTGATAGCGTTTCATGTTTAATTGACTTTCTTATCACAACGGCTGTTCCCGCGTGGCCAGTTCCATCAGGATGATTAGTCACATAGATATGGCATCCTTTGGTGCTAATTTTGCTTTTACTTGTACAGTGAGCTTCAGAGACAAGTACAACATCAAGCTGGTTATCGTTCATCAACAGTTGCAACTCAGTCTTGCTCGGAGAAAGACCATTAAAATTCCAGGTACCCACTCTCAGTGCGGTCATTTTTATATTCTTTCGACTAGAGTAGCTATGAGGCTCATGAGAGTGCTCATCTGTTGTAGGATTAATTCGAATTTCTCCGATTGTTTGATGAGTAATTCTTTTAATTTGTTATTCACGCTAGTTGTAGTAGTTGGTTGGATTTCTTTCTTTTTAAGTACATCCGAGGTGAGAAGTTTTTCTTGTATTTTTACATACATATATACTACATATATATTATACCATATTTCATCATTTCACCATATTTACACGTATCATCTTCTCGCATTGAAACTGTATAATCTCAATTTTACAGGAAAGTGTTTTAAAGGTTTAACATGTGATATTTTTAATATTAATCACCTTTCCCGCATTTATTTTTTATTTTTTACCAGTTACATTATCTGTCTTTTAAAGTAAGATAAAATTATGTATTAATTTTGTTAATAGTAGTAAAAATATGGGTAAACAAAAAAAAAACAAAAAAAAAGAAACTAAACTACGCTCTTTTGACAGTATTTATGAGAAAAATACTGGTGATACCAAATGATTCCGCATATTAATTCAATTTCGAATATTTTTGAAAATTGTACACTTTTAATGCAAGAAGACGGTATATCATTAAGTTCTATAAGGCATCAAATCGTGGTAGAGTAAATTATTGACTACAGTAAATCAAACAAAAACATTCGAGAACTATATTAGAACTCCGCTTGATTCGTAATTGCTATCAAAAACATTTTTCTCAAAATTTCGTCATTTTGCCGCGTTTGAACATTCTCCGTGTATTTAAGCGCTGGTTTTATTTTAATGACTTGATAACGGAATAGGCTGGTACTATTATCTACAATGTTTAATTACGTATTTATGATGTTTGTTCTCTAAATATAAATTGGGATTTACATGTCTGCGGGGGTCTTTGTTCAAAGTAATTAAGGTTTAAATGAAATCACATTTAAAGAAAAAAACAACTGAAGTTTTCGAGAATCTCTGATGATTTATTGTGTTTTTGTGTTCAGAAATTGCTGTTTCTAAGGCTCCGTGGCGTGATTCGAAAAATGGAGAAGAAATATGGGTTTTTCTTTGGCACGGCATTATTAGATGCTCTGAAGCCCAGGTAAAGTGTAAAGTGGCCGAAATCTAAAAACATGACGTGATGCCGCCATTCACCTCGAGAAATAGCACTTTCTTTTATTTTTACTCCACTGCTCAAGTCGGATCGTAGAAAACGATTTACCGCCAATAATTACGCAAGGTTCTTCCTTCAAATTGGGCACTGGAGCTGGACCTCCCTGGTTGGAGACTCAGAGGAAGACCCAAAGACGCAAGACAAGGTGGAGATATGTAGCGCTGAAGGACAAGAGGGAGTGCAAGGTCACTGACAATGACGTTGAAGACAGCGAAGTGGAGGAGAAAAATCAGGAAGTTGATTCCGTCACCACATAGCTGGGAAGAGAGAGAGAGACAGTCCGAGTTTTTCCTTTCACGTGGAAGTCATCTATGAACACGTGTTTAGCTTTTCATTAATTTCATTACGAGTAGAAGTCTTATCTTTTAGGCCACGGCTGCTCCAAACACGCACTCTAGAATCCCAAAAAAAATAATATTACCAGTAGCCCCGACGTGCTTTTATTCCCTTTTTTATTGCTTTGGTTGGTGAACGAGCTAACGGCCCACCTGGTGTTAAGCGGTTACCGCAGTCCATAGACATCTACAACGTTAATGCCGCCACCCACCGGGGATGAGATATGAGTTCTAAGGTCTCAGTTTTTACAGTACAACGGCTGCCCCACCCTTCAAACCGAAACGCATTACTGCTGTGGTATCTACCAGTGCGGACTTACAAGACGTCCTGCCACCAGTAAACCTAGTTATCAGTAGCCAACTATCATTAAACGAAGGTAATGTTAAACATGTCAAAAAATCAATAAAGAAGCTGACTGCTATTTTCTTGTGTTAAAGTAGGTTTTTTTCCTACCTAAGCTGATGGTCTTGAGAAATAATTTCAGCGTAGCCTTAACTAGTAGGTGAGCCCACGGGGCTCAAACCTGACATTGTTGCGAACACTAACCCTAGCAAGAGCAGTGCTTCGCAGAATCTACCACCGGATCGGAAACGCGATCCACTGAGAAGATCCGGCGAGAAACTCAATGGGCTGTTTCTGAGGGTTAATTTACTCGTCGAGCCCTTCGTCGCAAGCGATGGGTTCGACGAGGACGATGACCGGTGCTTGAGGTACCTAAAAGCACCGTTAGTGGATCGGGAGGATCCGAAATGACGTGTTGCGACATGGGGCGACGTCGACTGCTTTCAATTCTTTCCGCAGGATCGGGAAACGCGTCTGGGCGGCTCAATAATATAGCACCAATAATTTCAATTAGCTCATGAATCGTTCTAACATACAATAGGTATAAAAGTGCTGATTGAGCGAGACGCTATATTGAAAAATGTCTGCTTGTGACTGAGATAGTTAATCTGTGTAAATCACGGATAAAACGCAAGATGGCGCCCTATGTGTGTGTACGATTCAACATCGTTTTTAAAACATCGATTTTTATGAACCATACATCGCTATCGTAACTTTGAAAAACATCGATGTTTAGTTTGCATCCCTAGTTGAAAGTGATAAACAATTAAACTTATTTTTTATTACAACTATAGCCAGAGAAGCGCGGGACCAAATTGAAAATGACTGGTCATCGAATGTCTTTGACGTCATTGAGCCAGAAACATAGCGAAGCCGCTGTCTATAAGCTTGCGGAAGCTACATTCATTCATAGCATTCATTACATTCAATAATTAAATTCCTGAGTGTTTTCTCTGAGCAATTATTGCAGTCGCATAATGCTGCTAGTATCTAAATTTCGATACAAGTTCTAACTTTCATTCGTGACGCTTTTAAGCCCTGTTTAAGCTAATATTTGTGCGGGTTTGTTTTGGTGTATTTAGTACACTCGTGAAATCATACGCATAGCTCATTGCTCGTACGAATGCGTCAGGCGTCTTTTCCTTTAGGCCACGACGACTTCTTGCGAATGTGCCGGTATTCGGATCCGGCAGGCAGGTACAAAATTTTCTAATGAAACACGTACTTAACAAATGTTTACGAATGACTTCGACAATGAAGTAATAACACCGGCCCACCGGGTAATAAAAATTAAAACCGCAAAAATTAAATTTTCCTTATTACAGGTGGTAGGGCGTTTTGTGAGCCCACTTAGGTATTTTTTTTATTGCTTAGATCGGTGGACGAGCTGACCTGATGTTAAGTGGTTACCAGAGCCCATAGACAATTACGACGCAAATGCGCCACCCACCTTAAAACGTTAACAGTCCGGTGTTACGTATGTGGTACACGGTGAGCGGTTCCGCCGAGTTCGTGTACCCTATAAGGTACACGAGCCGATGTGTTTCTCTACGGGGCCTAGAACCACGGACTTGTCAAATTAGTTAGTGTTTTCTTTGTGGACTTGTGATCAAGGATCTAATAAATGGCAAAAGTGGAAAACATGTCATATTTTTTTAAAATTCTTAGTATAGCAACACGACATAAGGAAACTTAGAAAAAAAAGATACAAATTTTAATTGGTGAACTAAAAGTTTAGAAAAACAAACAACGCGATATGCTTTTTTGCAAATTTTACATTGCGTTGATATCCTTTTGGCTTTGGCCTGTGCATATGGAGCAAGTCGACCTTCATCAAGAAGGTTTTGGCAGCATCCCACGCATCGTCTTCGGATGAATCGAGATTTTTTCTTACCCAATAACTCAAAAAAATGTGTTATTCTCAGCGGCGTAACTTGATCTTTAACGTTTCATGTGCTACTAGAATGCT